CAGATGTTGAGTGAAGAATTGAAAGGAAGGAGGAAGAATCAAGGGACTTGGGAGGATCTGTGTACATGAAATATCTGCGAGAGGAACCTACACATAAGCCTCTCTTTTCACAAAGTACCCTTACCTACCCTCGTGAGCCTCATCAGACACATACCCTCGCAATCTCCTGCAAAGGTGGCTATTGGGGGGTGGGAGGGTCTGTGCCTGATCTCTTCTCCTTGCTCTTATGCCTGTACCTACTTTTCCAAAGGCAAGAAAAACTGGTCTATCCAGTTCCTCTTGGCTGGAGCAGAAGCCTCTGTCTGCAGATCCTGAGCCTTGGGCTTCCTCCCTCGTGGCTGGGCACTTACCTTTCACAGCTGCCTTGAGCTTGCAAGGCAAAGACTGGTCTCGGATCGGGTCTTCCAGCTACAAGATGCCTGCAGCAGCCTAAGCTCTTGCATCAGTCCCCATGGTCACCTGGTGACAGGTCACAACCCTCTGGATTTAATCACAGCCCTCTGGACTTCCTCCAGTTTCTTTGTCCCCAGGGAGTCTGCAGTGCATGTGGCAAAGAGTGTCACAGCTCTTGGACCAGACACAAGTTTCTTAACTTGGCCAAGCCTTACCTCTCTTATCTATAAAATTGGAACAACAATGGCGGCTGCCTCTTAGGATCATTAGGAATATGAGTAAAAGAATATGTGAAAGGACTTAATTTAAAGAAAAAAAAAGACTTGTGTAGATTGATTTTGTTTTATGTGTATGTCTGTTTACAGGTGTTTCTGTACCACATGAGTGCCTGGTGCTCAGAGAGGTCAGAAAAGGGGGTCAGATCCCCTGGAACTGGGGTTACAAATGTTTGTGACCCACCATATGCAGAGGAATGGAACCCACATCCTCTGCAAGAGCAACAACTGCTCTTAACCACTGAGCCACATCTCCAGCCTCTAAAATGCTTACATATTAGTTATGTTTGCTTTGCTGGGACCAAACCACCTGCTGGAAGCAATTTAAAAGAGAAAAGGTTTCTTTTGGTTCCTGGTTCCAGAGAGCTTGGGTTCCTCATGGTGAGAATGGCATGGCAGGGAGGCCCAGTTCACGGACATGGGAGCATGCATGCATCCGAGACTGTACTCATCACAGTAAACCAGGAAGCAGTGTGCATGATAGGAACCAGGGTGTGGGTACAACCCCTAGGGCCTACTTCTGCCACCTAAACACTTAATAGCTTCTCCAAGTAGCACCACCACCTGGGGACAAGAATTCAAACCATGAATCTGAAGGGGATAGCTCAGATTCAAGCTGTAATATTTCTCCCTTTTTCCCAAAAAAGCACAGCCATCCCATAATGCAAAATACATTTAGTGCAACTTCAAGCATGCCTGTGATTGTTTCATTTTTATTGCCTATTTAACTAGATTTAGAAGAGGGACTGGAGAGATAGCTCAGTGACTAAGAGCACTGGCTGCTCTTCCAGAAGACCCTGGTTCAATTCCCAGCACCCACATGGCAGCTCACAACTGTTCTGGAGGCTCCAACACCTTCACACAGACATACATGCAGGCAAAATACCAATGCACTTAAAATACAGGTAAATATATTATTTAAAAAGAAACACCTAAGAGATTGAGGCATACCTCTGGATGAAACTATGGAGGATTTCAGAGAGGTTTAGTTGAAGTAAAGGCCCAGCGTGAGTGTGGGTGACACCATCTCATGAGTGGGGAGCTGGTCACATTTGCCTACAGTCAACAGGCAGAGAAGGATGAATGCCCTGCTCAGCTGCTCCTTTTCCTTTTCATTCTTTCTAAGTTTTCCTCACCATGATGGACTGTATCACCTCAAACAGAGACAAAATCAACTCTTCCTCCCTTTGGTTGCTTCTTATCAGGTTTGTGGTCATAGGAAACAGAAAAGTAACCAATACAGCCCCCAAGGACTCCACGCCAGTGTTGTCAAATGTCTCCGTCTCTTCTGTGACTCAAGGCAATCTCCTAGCTGGGAGTGAGCCCCTACAAAATACAAAGCAAGGTCCCTTGCTTCTAATACACCACAGCACAGAGTAAATCTTACCACTCCCAAAAGAGGAACAGGATGACGGCAAGGAGAGCTTGGGCTGGAGCTAAACAGAAATTCGCCAGCACAAACATTGAATCCTGTAGCCCCAAATCTAGTGTCTAGAGTGTAAAGGGTCGTGATTGAGTTCCAGTGGATTGGCAAGTCTCACCTCTACAGTCTTCCATTACAGCCCACGGTCTTTTCTATTGGCTGGCTTTGTATGTCCCACGTTCCTGGCATCTCCATCATCCTGGGGTCTCCATTGAAATTTAGCTTCGCCCTCTGTACCAAGTCTTTCTTTGTCCCACCAGCTCCCAAATAATGACATGGAGACTTATAATTAACTATGAAAGCTTGGTCTTCACTTAGGCTTGTTTCTAACTAGCTCTTATTACTAAATTAACTCATTTCTATTAATCTACATGCTGCTGCATAACTTGTGGCTCTTACCTCTCCTCCTGCATGTCTTGCTTCCTCTGTGTCTGGCTGGTGACTCCTCCTTTCTCCCCCGCCCCCAGACCTCTCTATCGCCAGAAGTCCCCCTAACCTCTTCCTGCCTCACTATTGGCCAATCAACTCTACTAAACCAATCACAGAGACACATCTTCACACAGTGTAAAGGAATATTCTGCAACAACCCTCACAACCCTCACCTCTTCATGCATGTACCGCTTAAGGGCAACCCTACAGAGAATCTATCCCTGAAGTACATTAGCTGGCACAGTAGGCTTTTCTCAAATATTTTGATGGAATCCCCCATAACACATGATTCTTGAATTCTTCACAACTACAAAACAGCACCACACAGATAATGCCAAGTTCTACCACCACCTTGAATAATAATAGGGCTCTATTGAGCTATAGATGCAGTGGCCTCTGTGAGTGTCTGTGTGGCTGAGCTTGGAAAAATACTTATAAGCCTCTCTGTGCAAATAGAACACCCAGCAGCATCCTTTCTCTAAAGAAAAGACTTTCAAATGAATTTGAAGTTAAAACTCTGAAGTCTACAATGAATGTAGTCTTGTCAATTCCTGGAATGCCTTCAAGGCAACTTTTCCATTTCCCTATAGAAAATTGTTACCAAGAGTGAGATTGTTATGTGACTAAATCTGACAGTGTGATTCTTAGGCCTTTGGAACTGGTTTGTGAGAGAAATTTGGAAGACTTTGAAGCTGTGGGCTAAAGTACTGCATGCTATAAGCAGAGCTTAATGGGAATTCTAGTGAGGGTTTAGTTTGGTGCCTTCATCTGCAGAAAAAGACCATCCTTGATGTCGTGTGTCTAGTCTCATTAACTATGTATAGTGTGTCCCACCTTACTTCCTGAAGCTCAGGCTTCTCTCCTTTTACTTAGCACTATAGAAGCTCCATTGTCTAGTGTTCCTTTGAGTTTCATACTATGTGTATGATTACCATGTTTCTGCACATTAATGAATTTTATGTACATCCCAGTACAGCTTGTTTGGTATTTCATTAATGATGCTAATCTCTTTGAGAAATAAGGCCTCTTCTTCTGCCACTTCAAACATACTAAATTTTGGACTAAACTGCACTTAAAATCTTTGTACTCTTCTTTTTCAAACTGCACTTAAAGCAAAATCTTTCCACTCTTCTTTTTTCCCTCAATATATGTTTTTATTTAAATTAGAAACATGAATGCTTCACATGTCAATCCCAGCTCCCTCTCCCATCCCTCCTCCCTTGTCCTTCCATCAGGCCCCCCAGCCCTCCACCCAATCCCCACATCATTCCCCAGGGAGGTGAGGCCCTCCTTGAGGGGATCTCCAAAGTCTGTCATTTCATCCAGGGCAGGACCTAGGCCCTTCCCCTGTGTCCAGGCTGAGAGTGCATCCCTCTATTTGGAATGGGCTCCCAAAGATCATTCATACACCATGGTAAACACTGATCTATTACCCAAGGCCCCAGTGATTTCTGTGGCCTCCTCACTGACACTACATTCATGGAGCCTGGATCAGTCCCCTGTTGGCCTCTCAGCCATCAGTCTGGGATTCAAGAGCTCCCCCTTATATGGTCAGCTGTCTTTGTGGATTTCACCATCATGGTCTTGACCCCTTTGCTCATCACTCCTCCATCTCTGTCACTAGGTTCCAGGAGTTCAGTGGGTATCTGTCTCTGCTTCCATCAGTCACTGGATGAAGGTTCTAGGATGGCATATAAGGTAGTCATCAACCTTATCATTAAGGAGGGGCTATTAATGTACTCTCTCCACTATTGCTTAGTTTTCCAGTTGGTGTTATCCTTGTAGATCTCTGGAGATCTCACTAGTGTCAGCTACTCTTCTTTTTGATTCTCATTGTAAATCTAGTCAAAAAACAAGTAATGGAGCCAGACGTGGTGGCGCACACCTTTAATCCCAGCATTTGGGAAGCAGAGGCAGGCAGATCTGTGAGTTTGAGACCAGTCTGGTCTACAAGAGCTAGTTCAGGACAGCCTCCAAAGCCACAGAGAAACCCTGTCTAGAAACTCTCTCACCAAAAAACAAGTAACAGTAATTATGCTACCAACTGAATTCTATGGTGTCTTAAAATTTATTCTACCAAATTAACCCATAACATTTTAATTCAATCTTAATCACATTCTCAGGATACAAACAAAACAGAGTCATCTTTCCAGAATGTAAAACAAATGGCCCCTATCCTAATTTCCAATAGAGTCCTTGTTCCCATCTAAATCCTCATGAACTTGGCCTTCACTGGGTATGTTTCTATCAGTATTCTAATTTTCCATATCCTATAAATAGTGCCTATGAAGCATTGTCTATAGCACACAGGATATCTTTGACCAGCATCCCTAAACCCTTCCAAATTCCTCTCACAAACAAGTTCCAAAGGCTTAAGAACCACATTGTCAGATTTAGTGGCATAGCAACCCCACCCCTGGTACTAATTTTTCATATTAATTACTTTTGCACCGGAGATCAAAATACCTGACAATAACCACTTAAGAGGAAAAGATTTATTAGGCTCATGGTGGTGGGGAAAGACACAGCATAACAGGTTATATCACAGTGAGGGATCTGGTAACAGAGGCTATTCACATCACAACAGACCAGGAAGAAGACAATGAAGCAGGAACCATAGGCTAGTTATTACTTTGAAAGACCTATCCCCAGTGATCTACTTCTACCAGTTAGACCTCACCTCCCAAAGCCTTCCAAAAGAGTACTACCAGCTATTGAACAAGCATTTGAAACATGAGGTCATGGAGGTCATTTCAGGTTTAAACTATAACAACCTGGCAGATAGTAAGAGCTGGGTAGATGTTAATATAGAGAAATTTTCACTTTTCTCCTTTCCCTCTGAAGATTCAACAATTTTACTCTAAAATAAATTAGCAGTTGGAACATAAAATGTATTAATGTGCAAAAACAAGGGAGTCACCCCTAAAATATGGAAGTCAAGACAACTGTATTGGTACTTCCATAGTGCTACCTGAAAGATACCTGGGTTTCTGAAAAGAGAAGTGATGTGGGCTAATGAGGGGTTCCCAAGGAGACTAGATGCATAGCATCAAGGGCTGTCTTGCCATACAGATAAAGATGGAAGTATACAGTTGCCATGGAAGTCCCAGTCTTCTCGAGGAGGGCATTTCCTCAGGTGGGATATTTGATTTCCCCACTTCAGCTGCTATTCTTTCTACTTCATGTAACTTTTCCTGTTCTCTTGTTCTAAACAAACAAAACATATAGTCCATGATCTAATAGAAGTAAAAGAGTCATCCATCATTTTCAATACATTTAACAAAGATTATTTCAAGTTCAGACAGGACCTGGGCAGTTTGCAGAATATGGGCAAACGTTTGAAGTCCCTGAGCTTCATGTAGGTTGATCCCTGAAACAAATAACACAATGTCTACTTGCTGTCTTACCTGAAGCTTCCCTAAATTCAGCCTATGCCTTCTCTGGCTGGTTGCACCCCTGGCTCCATCTCCAGGGGGGCAAAGTAAAACAGCAGTACATGGGTAGTTCCTCAACAGGGTCTCTTAGTCAGGATATCTGTGTAGGAAAGAGAAGAAGGCTGACAAAATAGAAAGAGGATTGTGCACTGTGCAGTTCTTCAGAAGGTCTCAGTGACTTCCTAGGTATGGTAGTTGAATGTAATTGTCTCCTGTAAACTCATAGGGAGTGGTATTATTAGGAGGTATGGCCTTGTTGGAGGAAGTATGTCATTGTGGGGGTGGGTTTTGAGGTTTCCTTTGCTCAAGCTTCACTAGACCACTTCCTGTTGCCTAAAGGTCAAGATGTAGAAATCTCAGTTCCTTCTCTATCATCATGTCTGCCTGCATATCACCATGTTCATGATGATAATGAACTAAATCTCTGAAACTGTAAGCCTTCCCAATTAATTTTTTCTTCATTATAAGATTTGCCATGGTTATGTTGTCCCCTCACAGCAACAGAAACCCTAACTAAGACAGAAGTTGGTGCCAGGGCCTGGAGTATTGCTGTGATAGGCCTGACCATGCTTTTGTTTAAAGGAATGTGGACCCTGGGGTATAAATTAGAAGAGCAGTTGAATGCTTTAAGTGCTACTTAATAGGTCATACTAGTAGGAGCATGAAAGACAGTGGTGCTGAGTGTGATTTGATGAACTGTGGAGTCCTGGCTAAAGAGGTTTAAGAGGATAAGAATATTAATATGTGGCTGAGAGATCATTTTTGTGATATTTTGGTGAAGAATGTAGATGCTTTTTGCCCTTGTCTGAAAAGTCTGCCTGAGGCTAAAGTGAGGAGATTTGGATTAATTCCATTGGCAGAGGAACTCTCAGAAAAGGCTAGTATTGACTTTGTTGTGTGGTTATTATCCGTCACATATACAGATTTATAATGAAAAGCAGAAAGTTAAGCAAGGAAAAATACAAAATGTACAATTTGAGGGGAAAAAAGAGTACCAGAAAGTGGCCTTTTTGGAGGATATGTGTCACTTTGGGAGTGGACTTTGAGATCTTTTGGTTAAGCATTGCTCAGTGTCACAGTCAGTCAACTTCCTGTTACCTTCAAGATGTAGAACTCTCAACTATTCTTCTAGGACCATATCTGCCTGGATACCACCATGCTCCCCACCATGATGATAATGGACTGAACCTTTGAAACTGTAAGCAAGCCATCCCAACTAAATGTTTCCTTTGCAAGAGTTGCCGTGGTCACGTTGCCTCTTCACAGCAACAAAAACCTTAACTAAGGCATGATCCTTGAATCTAACCTCCCTTGCTTAGTTTTTTCCCTTAACATGACCTGTAGCAATTTGTAACCAGCTTCCCTAAATGATGGCATATATCAATAACACACTGAACAACCAAAAATCACCCACCCCACTTCTTGGAAATGTGGGCATCTCATTCTTAAAATTACTTCCTGTTATCTAGGGGTAATGGCATCTTTAGGGGATCCTGAGAAAACTAGGTGATGACCAAGTCCTGGAAGAGTTAACTGTACCATTTGTTGTCCAGTATCTGTGTAATGGAAAAGTGCAAGCCTTATCTGAAATCCTAGGTAGTCTGTGAGGCTGGGCCATCTAAGCTAACCACTTTGAAGTTGCCCTGAGCAGTTTGTCGGTCAAAGCTGATCTTTGGGTGGTATGTGTCAGCTTAGTGGCACTACCACAATCCAGGTGGAATCATCATTGTGGGACCCCATCATCTTTTTGGAGACTTCAAAAGTCCCTATGAAGAATGATCACAGCTCACTGAAGAAAACTTAAATATTTTAAATCTCATACGAAGAAGATCTTGGACAGGGTAAAGAACCACAATCTTTTAAATTTATCTGGAATATTCAAACTTAATTCCTAGTTACCTGCTTCAGACTCAAGATCAAAATTATGTACAGGAAGCTAGATGAAGCTTATTTCTAGGATTAATTCATACTCCATGTGACCATTAATATCATGACAGAATATATATATATATACTTATATATGTATATATACACACATATACATATATAAATCTTATACTTAACTGTGATAGTCTCCCATGAATTCTATTTGTCTGGAGGGACCGGCAAACTCCCCTGGAGCTGAGGAATAGTTCAGTCATTCTCGAAAGGAGGCTTGGGGTAAGGAATTGCATATCTCCTGCACATGCCACCTCACTGACATCTGTGCACCAGGGTCTTTCCTTTCCTGAGACCCTGGCCTGTCTCCACTGCAAAGCACTCCTGACACCAAGGCAAGAAGTCTGTGAATAAAGGGGCTTGAAATCAATAAAGTAAGGAAAATATAAATGAGGACTCATGGAATCACTGGGGAGGGATGACATAGGCTTATTTCCAGAAGAGCCTGGTCCTCATTTGAGACAGTTTGTGGTTGCCTCTTCTGCTTTTTCCGAAGTGAGAGGAAGGCAGGTAGATTTTAACCTCTCTGGGCAGGATTGACATGAGGACTCGTTTCCCTTAACTGTGAGGAGTTCAGTGCAGCCAGTCATAATGAAGTATGGCTGGTGGGTATGTTGTCTGCTGGCGTGCTCCAACAAGACCCAGTGTAAGACTTACTGAGCATAAGTGTCTGTTGAAGTAGATTCTAGTACCACACAGTATATTTTCAAACATGTCTTCAATTAGAAGTTGCTCCCAGGAAACTACAGTTGCCTTCCCACCCCAGAAAGAAAACACCCCAAATCCAACAGCATAACATGGACTAACTTGCATTTATGGCTGGTAATTGGTTGTGCTTTTTTTTTTAAGATTTAGTGTGTATGTGTGCATTACACGCGTGTGAGTGCATTTGCCCTCAAAGGCCAGAAGAGCTATTGAATCTTCTAAACTGGAGTTGTAGGTGGTTGTAAGCCACCCCACATGGGAGTTGGGAAAGGAACTCATCCTCAGAAGAACAGTAAGTGTTCTTAACCTCCAAGTCATCCATCCAGTCCTGCTAACAGATTCTATTGGGGGATTCTGCGTTATCAGGAGGTTTTTCAGTGCTTATAATTAGCCACTAAAATTTTCATGAATTTTAAGAATAGAAAACAAGTGTTCATTTCCATGAGTTCTTACTGTAAAGGGACAAGGGAAACCATTCCTACATGAGTGAGTATGCTTCGTAACAGTGAGGAGTGAGTATGTGTTTGCTGCTGACACTCAAAGCTTCACTGTGGAAGGGGTGGGGGTGGCTGTGAATACGACGCCAACTGGGAGAAGGTAAGGAAGAATCCAGTGTGGGAGTGGAAATATCAGTCTATCGGTGTGACTTTCTAAAGTCTATGTATGTGTGTGCACATGAATGCTCTGTGCACGCATGTGAATGTTTGTGTATGCATGTTTATACAGGGTGTGTGTCTCCTACTATGGCAATAATCAAGAAGCAAAGACATCCCACTATAAGTGAGTGCATCCAGATTCCCAACGTGGTCTCTAACTCTGTCCCAACCGAGAAGAGCAGTGCTTTGTAGAGAAAGGACTTATTCCAGGGCTGAAGAGAAAAAAGACAAAGTGACCCTAAGATATCCTGGTGTGTTGGAAAGTAAGCAAAGGGGGGGGTCATATCACAAGGAGGCAGGAGACAGATTAGAGGGTCTCCATTTGGCCATATCAGTTATGGACAGTAATGAATTATAAATCACTGCAAAGAATTTCAGGGTATTCACCAACAATGAATGGATGAATGAATAATTAAATGAATGGGGGAATAAAATGCCAAGTTTCATGAGCTGGCCAAAGTGGAGAGAGAAAGAGCTATACTTGGGAAAATGTCCATTTTGCAAACTTTAACCATAATGGCAGAGTTAGGTGAGAACTACCAATGAAGCTAAACCTAGGGAGATATTTGGACAAAGAGTGGGATACTCTGTACCATCTTTAAGTGTTTCCCTCAGACTGGTAATTAGTTTCAAAGAGGGGGAAAAACAGAGTACAAAGTGGAAAAATCAAATAACAAGCCAAATGGCGATGAAAATTAACCTCGGCAAGGGGAGACATCGCAGCACCCAGACCCCGGGGACCTTCCATGTCTGCAGTGTCCCAGAGAGGAATGTCCTTGTGACAAAACATCAGTTCATTCTGTTAACACAAAGAGAAGAAGGGTTATATTCTTCAAAATTCCAACTTCACAAAAGACAAGGAAGAGCTGCTGAGAGAGAAGACTGAAGAGCTGGAATTCAGAGACGGTTGGTCGGTGAAGAGCTTGCTACACAAGCAGGGGCCTTGAGGTCCCCACGAGCATGAAGACCTGATGTTAGATTCCAGGCACCCACTTAAAAAGCCAGGCGGGAAGGTGTGCTGGCCTGTAAATCCTTAGAGGGAGGGGGAGGGGGGAGGGGAGGGCGGGAGGGAAGCAGGCAGTTAGATCTCTGGAGCTCACTGACCAGTCAGCCCAGTCCCATGAAGACCTGCTTACATTTCTAACAACATTCCCTAGCTAGCTCTGGATTTAAAATATTCTTTCCTCCTCCACCCCTCCTTTCCCGTTTATGCCCTGGAAATGGAAACAACAGAGGATACCTACCTCTGTTTCCTGCTGTAGCCTCTCGAAGGGCTCCACCCTCTGCCAGAGGACCTCCTCCTATAGTTCATTGTCCTCTCATCAGAGCCAGGCCATCACTGTCTCAGGTGAAGGGCTGAGGAGACCGCATCTGAGGCAGTTCGGTGAAACAGGTGGAGATTCGCCTGCCTTCCATTCAGGCTGGGCGGGGCCTGCCTCCTGCTGCAGTTAGGCCACACCCACCAGGCTTCACAGAGCCTCTCTTGTGTCTCATCACCTTACATAACTTTGGCTCCTGTACAAAGTAACTCCCTGGGAGGCCTCTGTACCTAGATGCTTGGGGATTTGGGAGAACAGACTAAGTTAGGGAAATGCCAAATTCCCATGGCTAGGAAGGTAGCCTTTCGTGCTGTCTGTCATAGGCTTACCCAACGACATCTGTCACAATGAGTGTGTTTTCCAGTGGCATGGGGGTCAGAGAGGGTGATTGACAGATGCAGCAGGGAAATCCTCGAGGTCATGGGGTCTCCTCTAGCTACTCTCTAGTGACCTCTGATAACATGGCATTATTTATTTTCTGGTTCTCTCATCAAATGGGTTAATGGATACTTTCCTCACTCAAGCAAATTGGCAGTCTTTAATTCAGAAGCCAGGCATAGTAGCACCTGCTTGTGATCCCAACATTTAGAAGGCTGAGGCAGGAGAATCACAAGTTTGACCCCAGCTTGGGCTATATTGCAATGAGGGGGACAGAGAGATGGGGCGTAAAGATGGAGACCTATCAAACCTAAAGCCCTGTCAAGGACTCTCCAGTGCTCAGACCCGTTTTCAAAGCTGGAGAGTGGAGCTGTGTCTTCTGCACCTGGGCTCCAGGAGTAAGCCAACCAGTTATTGTCTGTTACTGACAGCGGAGTCCTTAGAGAATCCTCGTATATAATTAGTCAAGATGATACCTGGTACCAAACGTGTCAAGAAACTTAAACATAGAAACCTTTGTGTAATATTGACCCAGGTGGACACACATTTCTGAGTAGTTCTTTTTCCTGGTAGACAGAAAAGGAGAAATCTTTTTTTCAGGTTTATTAAATCAATAGGGCAATTATATTGATTAACCTTGACTGTTGACTTGATGGATTTATAATCTTTCAGGACATAAACTGCAGGGCATGTCTGTGAGGGTGTTTCCTGAGAGGTTTGACTGAAGAGAGAAAATCCATCCTGAATGTAGATGGCTGCATTCCATGGATCAGGGTCCTAAGCTAAACTAAAGAAGGGAAAGTGAGTTGAGCACCAGCCTCCATCTCTCCCTGCTTCCTGGCCAGGGACAGCGTGGCCTTATACTTCTGTCACATTGCTTTCCTGGCCATGATGAACTATACCCTCAAACTGTGAGCCCAAAGAAAGCCCTCTTCCTTGAGCTGTTTTGTCAAGGAAAATAACAATAATACAGTATTGGAACATCTGCTTCCAAGTTGAATTCTCTGGGTTTAAATTCTGCTTCCCTCTCTTGTACACCAGTGACCTTGACAAGGTCATTCTTTGTGATACCCTAGTTCCATCTTCTGGAGTGTAGAGTAAGCCACACGTCTGTAGTAGGCTGTGTAGGAGCCAACAGCCTCTGGTGCATAGTAGGTCCTCAGTCAGTCTTAACTATTCCATTCCAGGGGCCGAGAGGCATGGATGTTGAAGACTGAACTTCCTACCTGACTTTGGCATCAGGAGGAAGAATTTCGGTTTTTAAAAAAGAATGCAACCATGTGAACTCACAAAGACACACACACACACCGCCACCACCACCACCACCAGAGCAGAAAAACTAATCCATTAAGGGGCCATTGGAGCTGAAATGTGCCTGCAGGAAGACTTGGCTTGTGACAGACTCTGGAAAGTTCCGTTTAGCTCTCAACCTGAAAAGTGAAATGATTTACTCTTCCCACTTTGAAAAGGTTAATGCCACCGGGGCATCCCCAGGGACAATGCAGGTTTTTGTTGGAGAATGACATTTAAAAGTGTTTGATTGTTCGGTATGGGCTGTTTGAAGAGTTACCTTACTACAGGTTAATGGCAAATTCCACCCTGGATTTCCTGCCAACAAATGTATAAAGCTTTGTTTGAGACCTAAAGGACTCAGAAGTGTTTGTTTTTCTGGTGGTGTGTGTTTTTCTTTTTCTTCCTCCAAGGATATTCTGAGTGAGCATGAAAAAGAAAAGACGCAGAAGAGGAAAGCCCTCTGTGCTTAGAGGGGTTGATGGAAGACCCAGTTGACCCCAGGGTCAAGGAACTGAGAGCAATAGAAAAGGGAAGTGGGGAGTTTGGCCTCACAGCGCTCCTCTGCTCCTCTATCCTTCTATTCCAGCAGCAGCCCCTTTCTGTTGTGAAGCAATGTGATGACAAAGCAGCCTCCAGTACCTTCTAACCATGATGTAACATTACATAACACCAGCTCTGCCCAAGGCTGAGGGTGTTGCTGTCAGTAGCCAGAGCCAGCATTCCAGGGATAGGTCGGGATGTAAACACTCAGAAGGTTTCTCCCCAGTGTTCAAGGAAGGTGCCTGGTGAAGGAGGACTCCAGGCTTCATCCTTGAGGTCCCATTCATGCAAGCCATCCTGTCTTCTCTGTAATAATGTGGATCAACCATACAGCAACAGTCTCCATCACAAGAGCACTTACGCTTTTTATTTTCAAAAATTTATTTTACTTTATGTGTATAGGGGGTTTGCCTGCATGTATGTCTGCATCAGACCAGAAGGGGGCTTTGAATCTATGGGACTGTAGTCATAGACAGTTATGAGTCACCATGTGGGTGCAGGGAATTGAGCCTGGGTCCTCTAGAAGAGCAGCCAGTACTCTTAACTGCTGAGTTATCTTTCCATTTACCCTTTTAAAGATGGGTAACCACGGTGAGTGTAGTGTTGAATGAGAAGAGTGGATTGCAAAAGGATGTGGACAAGGAAAGTTATAACACAAAAAATAAAAGACCCAGAGAATGGTATTAGGGTACAACTTTCAAGCTGAAGATCGGAAAAGCAAAGAAGCCAGTAACTAGCTCTTACTCTACCTCAACTCAAACCAAAGGGGTGATCATCAGACTGCTCCCAACATCACTGCTCCTCAGACTCACTCAGACTGCTATGCTGTCCTCAACGTGGCTAGAGACTCATTCTCAGACTGAATGCCTCTACCTTTTATACCTCTCAAATCCTGGGACTAAAGGCGTGAGCTCCGATTTACTCTCTGATCTTGGACTCAGAAATCCATCTGGCTTTCTCCTGAGTCCTGAGATTAAAGGTGTGTACCACCACCTCTCAGCTTCTACAGCTTGTGGCTGACTTTGCTTTCTGAATCCTCAAATAAGCTTTAATAAATCATAAATAATATAATCACCGCAGAAAATAATGTAGGGAAACATTTTAAACTTTTTAAAAAATTAAATTCTTATTAAGTGTGTGTGTGTATGTGTGTGTGCATGTGTGCACGCATGCTCAAATGTGAGATGTGTTGCTCTCATTGGTTTAATAAAGAGCTGAAGGCAGGAAGAGGTTAGACGGCACTGGTGGACAGGGAGAGAGAAGAGTTGAGAGGAGACTCAGGGAGAAGGAAGGTGAACATGCTATTTTAAAGAAAGGTACCAAGTCACATGGTAGAAGGTAGATAGGAAATATGGGTTAAGTTGTAAGAGCTAGTTAGTAACAAGCCTAAGCTATCAGCTGAGCATTTATAATTAATAATAAGTCTCTGTGTGGTTATTTGGGAGCTGGCTAGTGGGACAGAAAATTACACCTAGTGTGTGTGCACTCCAGTGCTTGCACAAGCACTTGCGCATATGCATGCCACCTGAGCAGCATGAGGAAAGGTCTGAGGGCACTTTGTAAATTTTAGCCAATGTAGGGAATTATTTTTTTCCTTTTTTAAAACTTGAATTAGAAAGAAGCTTGCTTCACATGTCAATCCCAGCTTCCACTCTCTCCCCTCCTACCCCACCCACCACCACCACCCCAACCCCCTACCCAATCCCCACTCCACTCCCCAGAGAGGGTGAGGCCCTCCACGGAGGATCTCCAATGTCTGTCATATCATCTGGGGCAGGGACTAGACCCTTCCTCTTGTGTCCAGACTGAGAGAGCATCTCTTCATGTGGAATGGACTCCCAAAGTCCATTCATATGCCAGGGATAAATACTGATCTACTACCTGAGGCCCCATAGATTGCGGAGGCCTCCTCACTGACACCCAAATTTAGAGGGTCTGGATCAGTCCCGTGCTGGCCTCTCAGGCAACAGTCTGGAGTCCATAAGCTCCCCCTTGTTCAGGTCAGCTGTTTCTGTGGGTTTCATCAACCTGGTCTTGACCTCCTTGCTCATCACTCCTCCCTGTCTGCAATTGGGTTCTAGGAGTTCAGTTCAGTGTTTAGCTGTGGGTGTCTGCCTCTGCTTCTATCAGCCACTGGAGAAGGCTCTAGGATGGCATATAAGGTAGTTTTCAATCTCATTATCTGGGAAGGGCAGTTAAGGTAGCTCTCCTCAAACCTATAATGACACCCTCTGTTATGATATACCTCATCCCGCTCTCCTCTATTCTTCCCCCGACTCAACCTTCCTGTTCTCCCCTCCTCCTTTTCCCCTCTCTTTCTCCTAGTTCCCTCTCCCCTCCCCCCCATGCTCCCAATCCACTCAGGAGATCTTGCCCCATTCCCCTTCTCTAGGGTACCATGCATATCTCTCTTAGGGTCCTCCCTATATCCCAGACTCTGGCAGTGGGATTGTGGGATCAGGCTGGCACTCCCCTGATCCATGTCTGAAATCCATATATAAGTGAGTTCATACCATGTGTGTCTTTTTTGTGACTGGGTTACCTCACTCAGTATGGTTTCTTCTAGAGCCATCTATTTGCCTGCAAATTTCAAGATGCCATTGGTTTTTTTTCCCACTGAGTAGTACTCCATTGTGTAAATGTACCACATTTTTTTCAATCCACTCTTCAGATGAGGGGCATCCAGGTTGCTTCCAGGTTCTGGCTATTAAAAATAATGCTGCTATGAACATAGTGGAACAGACATCCTTGTTATATGAATGTGCATCTTTTGGGTATATGCCTAAGAGTGGAATTGCTGGATCTTATGGTTATTTCCCATTTTCCTGAGGAATCTCCATGCTGATTTCCAAAGTGGCTGTACGAGTTGGCACTCCCACCAGTAGTAGAGGAGTGTTCCCCTTTCTC